CTATTCCTTATCCATTTAGCTATCCATTTGCCAAAAGTTCGATTATCGTCTCTACACTTTACCATTTGTTTCTATAAATCAACTCAATCAGATACGCCCACAGTTCACAAAGTTGTGAATTTTGGATTTTTAATTAATTCAAGAGATATTGTTGGAGAAAATCTCTTTTAGTATTGTTACACAATACTGGCATCAAAAAGTAGCAAGACGCGCATAATACTTGAATAACATTTCTTGTTAACACTTTAACCCCGAGGGGAAAAATTCATTATTCATGATCTACAACAGTCTTCCTACGTTTCGGCTACAGCGGTATACTCTTTGATTATATTTTACAAAGTGCAACTGGCATACCTAATGAACAGGGGCGCTACGCTTTCGGTGTGAGTGATTTCAAAGCTTTTTGGAGAGCAAGGACCTTAAAGTGACAAAACGCGTCACTTGAACAATCATAATGTATACACTAATGGTCGGAATGTCATGAAATTTTGGCACATTTTGTTTGAAGGCCGATGCTACCCAGAATAATACATGTGTGTTAACAGTATTGCCGCGTACGTGTCAGGCTCGAAACTTATTGAGTGATGTGGTATCCGAAGTGAGTTTTGGTTATTTCTTAGAGTCTCAACGCTTAAAGTCGCATACGTTTGTACAAAGTTACAAGCCTTTTTAAGTTGCCTTGTAAGGTATGAATATGACATATCTATTATGCAACAAGAGAGACAAAAATTTTCTGCTGTACTTTAATAGAAATCGAAATAAATTTTCTACTTTTTTTCGTTTATTCGGCCTTACTCACCTTCATCGGAAAAGAGAACGTTTACCGTAACATTTGTACCTCGCTGCATAAGACAAGGTATTTTAGTGCAACCGAAGATGCTCAAGAAAATTATGTTGTATTTTGAGCCTGTAAAAAAGAGTGCAGATAAGAAAAAATGTTAAAAAAGGAATTACATATTTTATATATGCTAATTAACGGTTGAGATCGAATATTACGACTGGACTGACTAGATCTAGTAAAGTGCTTAACTTATGGATAAAAGACTGAAATTTTCTGAATTTTGCCGAATTGTTTTTAACGCATTCCTTGTAGAGGGGACTTCCACGCAACGTGTGCCGCTTTCGGTACACGCCAAAAGATTTAATTAAATAAAAAAAATTATTATGTTTAAATTTTAGTATTTTAATCTAAAAAATTGAACTTGACGTACAAAGCCAACTTAGCATGTATTGAAAACGGTACATGTGGCAAGGAACGTGCGAAGACATCCCATTGGTTGGAAACTGTCAAAATAGGCACGATATTTTTGTTATATTATCTATCGTAAGAATATATTAAACCTTAAAAAGGAAAAATCTTCCTATGTTGGTCCATGCACTACGGCACAGAATGTTTCAGAGCATTTGAATATTAATAAATTACTTCTACAAGGATATATGAAGGCATTTATTTAAATGTTGTATTTACTTACTTATGAATATATATGTATTTTTAGTTATTCCAGTCAATATTTAATACGTCGGTATAGGTAAAAATTTTACACCACCCAGACAGTAATGTTTTTTTTTTTTTTTAATTGTTTTTTATTACTCCTTTTCATTATAGGGCTTCAAATAGTAATTACGTAGAAATTACCAACACTTTAAGACACCGCAAGCGAATATATATATATATATATATATATATGTGTATTGTTAAACATTTGTAATATATGTATTACATTCCTAAGTAATACATATACATACGAATGTATATATATATATATATATATATATGTATATATATGCATGTATATATATACATGCATAGACCACTCAAATTACGCCTTTCATTTGATGATGAATGAATGAATATTGTTTTCATTTTCGATATGTGAAATGTTTACGAACATCTCTTAAGTACGTGCCTTTCTATAGAAGCTGTTTTTAAAGAAATTAATACGCATGATTGATTGAATCCTAAGCAAATCCATCAATCTCTTTTCATGTTACAATATATTTATATATATATATATATATATATATATATATATATATATATATATATTCTTCTTTTATTATTTCTCAATTATTATTGCGCTAAGAGATCAGTTTCCTTAACTTGGTCCACTAAAATTTTAAAAACAGAAAAAAAAAATTGATATTTTTTTCGTAAACAAATCTTAATATATAGCAATATTTCTCAGAAATACTTAAAAATGTTAAATAATAAAAAAAAAAGAGATAATTGGTTTTGTGTTAATATGTAAAAGGTAACGAATGAGTCCATTGTCATCGATCTAGATGCAAACAGTGTAATGGAAATTTTTTTTTTAAAAAGTTACTCAAGCTATTTGATTGAAGCGGTACATAATTCATAAGGATGCATACAGTTCTTTTACCAAAGGAGATGCTCATCACCAGAACCGATTAATGTCGCACAAAATCGATTAGATGGAAAATGATTATATTTTGTTTTCAAAATTTTGTATTAAGAATTTCTTAATTCTTTCCGAAGGCAATCTAAAGGCAGCCCGGCAACGAAAAACAGGAACTCGCGTTGCCCTGGTGGCAAAAGTGTGTGTGTTATAATCGCCCCCGTGAACTCTTAACAACACGAATTTGACCAAAGGGATTATCTGTGCTCAAGTTTTCCGCACGCACCGTGTCCTAGAACTGTTAGTAAGACTCTTTTGTAGAACAGTCTGAGAGAATCTCTGCCCAGAGACCTGTCTCTGGGCCTATGGGCAGAGATTCCCTTCTTTGCGATTTTCCTTCTTTGTCAATTGTTAGCGAACAAACAGTGTAGGTGTGAACGCTTCCAAATATACCGTAGTAGACGCTATACTTGAATCTTTTTCATTGCCTAACAATATATATTTCTTAAGTAAGTGTCCACGTAACTATTTCCGGTTTCACAATCTAAAACAAGCCATAAAAGCAGAATTGTATGGCAATTTCGTAAACATTTCTGAGAAATTGTAACGCGAATCATTGATACGATTCCGCGAATTGCCATAAAATACTCTGTCCTAGCGTCGTTGTTGAATGTTTGCTAATGTATATTTTGATTAGAAAAAAAGTGACATCATGTTAACTAAAGAATTTTTTTTTGTACCCACCAATGTAAGACGGGCGTATACTTATTTTGTTTGTTTTCCGTAATGTATGCAACACTCAAAAGGAAACTTCAGAGATCCGATAAAGTATATATATTCTTGATCAGCGCGTAATTCTGAGTTGATTTAGCCACACTTCTCTGTGTCCGTATATCTGTTTGTCTGTATAGTGGGTGTTGTTGGCATTCTCCTGATTATAAAAGTAAAGATATCAACTTCAAATTTGATAGAAACATTGGAAGTTTCTGCACGTAGGTTGATATTGAAAATGGGCTAAATTGATGAGAGCAGAAGCGCGCAGTGAAATGTAAACTGAACGCAAATGCGTTCTTTTAACCAAAAATTTTTTGAATTTGGCGATGCTTAGTCGGAAATCAAATTTACTTGCGAAACACTCTACTCCTCACACGTAAAAATGGAAAAAGTCGACCATGCCCACACAAGATTACAAATGAATAAATTACATTTTTTTCATTTTTACTTAGCATAAGACAACCGAGACGGAATGTTTAAAACCATTTTGCCCACTCCTCAAATGAAGATATATTATCGGCCTAAAAATGGATTAATTTTAAAGTGAATATGATACACACCGCGATTGGTTTTTCTTCTTAATAATATCTGGGTTTATGGGTGGATATGGGTTTCAAATAAAAAGACTTGGGAAAACATAGTGTTAGGTATGAGTGATCCGATCCCCGCCAAATATAACTTTTTTATTTGTTTTTTTTTTTTTTTCGAAGTTTCCATCAGATTGAAAACTATTTATTATTGTAATTCGTTTTGTTTGTAGAGCATAGAAACACAGTTCTTCATTATTCTATTGAGGTAAACGAAAGATAAAGAATATATTAATTGTTATCTATTTAATTAGGCTATACTTTTATGGGTATGAAATAATTGTAATTAGATTTGTAAAGCATAAAAAAAAAATACGCTTTAAATATCCTACAAGGGCACTTTCATTTCATTCTTATCAATCTAGACCATAATTTTATGGTTATATAGTTAGTTATATAGCAATGAAATATATAAAGCATAGGGAAATAAATCTTAATTACTTCATAAAGCGTATCAAAAGATCTAGGACATATTTTTCATTTGTAAATGCTATAATTTCAAGGTTCACTCTTGTTTGTGTGCAACTTGCAAACCGCAATTTTTAAGATATAACCCATTGAAAAAATGGTTTGGATGAGAGCACTTTTTCCATATAACGATTTACTTCGAGCAGGCATTATTTGAATAACTGCCGCCTGGTGTAGGGTATAGATTTTGCAAAACCTCTTCATTTATTAGTAATACAACTTCAAGGCTTACACTTCATTTCATAAGCATTCAAGGCTTCCCATTCTTCCCATTTACTTTAGTAATAAGCCAACGTTTTTTCTTCTCCTTATAATCTTTTTCTTTACCATCGCTTAAATAATATTTTGGCTTTGTTTCCAAATTTAAAAATTTACTTATTTCACTACGCAATTAAATCCGAAGCGATAGTCGAAGTTTTCTAAAAACTCATTTTTTCATTTACACAACTTCAGATGCGTCTATGTCGAAAATCAGGTTCTTATTAGTCAGATGGCGTTCAGGTCAAATGATCGCTAACTAAGATCTTGTTTTATAAAGACTTAAGATATTTGGGTAAAGACTTTCAAAATTAGCCCATAAAAACGGACACTGGCTGTTTTAATAGGCGCTTGCATGTATTTTGATCAACGACATCTATTGATGAAAATGACAAAGTAACGCAAAGTATGTATACAATGGTCAAATTCGATGATTTGACCTTTCTCTACATATAATAATAGATTTCCATCTCGTATTATTGAGTTACTCAATGTATACAGACGCTAACCATGGGACGATCAAACTTTGCATTTACAACATTCGTTACTTCTGTTGTTTGCTCTGAAGAAATCTGCTGCCGCAGCCCATAAACACTTTGAGAAGCATATAGTGATGTCGTTCCATTACGTCCCGATTGTCGGTTTTGGTTTCAACGTCTTAAAAGTTGTGATTTAGATGATGGATTCTCGAGGACCAAAAGAGTTCGAAGACAATGAATGGCAAGACTTATTGGGCGAAAACCCAACTCAAACTCTCAAAGAATTTCTAAACAGCTCAGCAGTCGATGAATCAATTGTTTCTAAACATTTACATGCAATGGGAAAAATCCAAAAGGAGGGCGAACGGCTATTGCACGAATTGGCCGAAAATGCTATTTCGAACGGCTTCATCATCGCGATTACATTACTGGGCAGACAAAAACAGAACAATTCTCTGTGGCGTATTACGATAGGCGATCAAAAATGGGTCTAATATAACGCGCAAAAGTTCATGGGTTAGTCTAGGAATGCCATTCACATCGTCATCCAAGCGGAATATTCATGTCCGTTAAGATTTGCTGTGCATACGGTGGTATCAACAGTATTGCGAGCTGTTAAAACCTGCTAATGCAGATGTCTACCCGTGTTGCAAAAAAGAGAGCGGTTGACAGACGACAAGCCGTCCACTTGCACGAAAACGCTCGACTACACATTGCAATAGTTGTCAATGATATACTCTTGCATCTCGAATGGGAATTTCTGCCGCAAAAAGCAGACATACCGCCTTCTGATTACCACTTGTTGAGATCAATGCAATATGATTTGTGTGTGCAAATGGGTCGATGCTGCTAAACCAGTATCGTTCTTTCGACACGATAACGTCATTTTGACTAATATGCTATGTTGCAACAATTTTTCGCAATAAATATTATTTTCAAATGAAAGATGTGATCAAAATACATGCAAGCAACTAATATATAATATCTCATAACCTCAAATTTCAAATGTCCAATCTGTGGCTTGCCTTTGCCTGGTTTCGATTGCAATTCAGCTATAAAATATTTTAAATTTTTCTTTGAAAATTTAAATGGACTCGCATTTAAAGCTCTTTGTCTATACTTACCACAGTCTTCAAACGGAACAGACTCTCTTTTGATTATAGCATCGTAATTATTGGAAGGATTACCATACACATGAACAAAATATCCACTAATGTATAAGAAGCTATAGGTTATTCCAGGATGTAGGCTTCGAAACTTCATTTTTTCTCTTTTCCAATTTAAGTTTAAAAAAAAAAGTTGTTCGTAACAAAAAGAAATTACTTTACTTTATTTTTCTATTAAAAAGTTTTGCTCCGTGTAATGAAATATCAAATTTGCTAATAGTGGCGTTGTTAACAAAAGTCATCAGTTAACTGTTTCGTTAAAATTTTTATAATAAACACTTGATCTTATCATTATGATTATAAAAAGGAAATCAGTGGATTTACTATTCAACAGCAGTAGCAATCGTCAGTGGTCAGTTTTATTATTATCTAAAAAAACAATTGTGTTCATTTAATGAATGCGTTATAAATTATGATCAATTTTTTAAAATTTTTAAATTTTTCTGTTGCGATTTTTTTTCTTCACTTACTTTGTAGCATAGTAATAACAAAGAAATCGAGAAATTGATTTTATATATCTCTCAATGATACTTGAGATAATTTAAAGTGAGAACGTGAATTTAGGCGGCGCTAATGCAGCACTTCTATACAGCGAATACCTGATAACGAAGTTTTATTATAATTAATATGGTGTTGGGTCTAAGAAGTAGACTGGCATGTGGTTCAAATTTGATCCATTTAAATTTTAGGTTAAATTATTATCATGAGCACATTTTCATCATAAAAAATTAACAATTACGCCTTATTTACACTTTAAGGGAATCCTTATACGCGGTGACGTCCAAAAAATAGGCCTACGTGGTCCAAACTCAGTAACGTTAATTTCTTTGTCAATTTTCTTTTAGCAATTTTCACCTTGAAATATTGTAAATTATAACTTTTCACCATACAAAAATGCAGTGTTCGTAGGTTATAGGAGAGAGACTTCAGAAAATTGCCTCAACCGCTCAACATATATTCATACCAATTTAGAGTATCGAAGTATTATTACACAGCCTGTTTTGTCGAAAAATTGCAATTTTTTTCCATATGTCGAATTTTCAAAATAAAGCATAATATGCGGAATGGTCGGAAAAGAGGACCTAACGGTCTTCTATTTTGTACCTACTGCGTTATACACGAGATCGTGTACCTAAACGGTTCGCGTACCTATAGAATAACATTTTTAACGCAAGAAAACGGTCATTACTATAAAGAGCTAAAACAACCAGAATATGGACTCGATCAAGAATTTGTGAAGGTTACTTGCGGACACACATTCTAATATCCTTCATACGTATGCTCTCTTTGCTTTGAGAAAGCGAAATCATATACTTAAAACCCTCACTTCTTTATTAATAAGTGATTTGCATTCTATTGATGTTCAGATATTAGCTTAAACGCCATAAACGTTGCGTGCCAGGTGCTGTTATAGATACGTACAAATTTCCAAGTTTCAAAGCGGAATTTGGAATTGTCTGCTCGCCAATGATAATGCTATTTCATCAAGGACAACCGGACGACTGGACAAAATTTATTCAATAAAATTAAGGGCATCCAGAACAAGCTTTTGTAAGTCGCGCCCGAGGCACATCGATAACTATAAAAATAACAATAGTATAATTATATAATACGATATTACACCCAGAGAAATAAAATTTCTTGATAATATAGCTTTTCGATGTTTTATTCAGAAAAACTGAATCGGACGCAAATTTCTCACACGAACAAAATCGAACACAAATTTCTCGAACTAACGGAATCGTATTCTAATTTTTCAAACTTTAACAGAATCGAAGCGTTACAAATTTAGTGAAAGCAACTCTGTGCTCTCTCCATTCTCCACACATCGTACTTTTTTTGTAAACCTTATAAAGTAAAAAATTTTTTTTTGAAATACTTTAAACCCACAAGTGGGAATTGTTTTCTAATTAATTAATAAAAAATGAAACTCTCAAAATTGCTTATTATGCGAAGAATTGATCAAATTAGCTGAGTGGATTAGGCCTCTTGTCGATTAGAGCTTTTATTATTTATCCCATCCTTCTGATTACAGCCTTTCCTCTCTCTTGCTTTATAGTCTCACTAAGCAAATGCAAAAATAAACATAACACAACCATAGGTTGAGAGTGGAAAGAGAATATAGTTACTTTCAATAAATGGCAACGCTTCAAAGGAAAATTTCGATAAATTTGCGTTCCATTCTGTTAATGTGAAAAGTTTGCGTCCAATTCTAATAGTGAGAGAAGAAATTGCATCAAGAAGTTTCTCAGATAGCCGAGGAAATGTTTCAGTCACAAATAAATAAATAAAGTTAATTTTCTTTGCTTTTTGCCCGTTTGTCTTACCGACTTCTGAATACTCATCAAGTCACCATTTCCCTCGTATAAATGTAACTGATACTAATACTAATTAATTCTATGAATAATTTATGCAGTAGTTCACGACGTATAGATTGTGTCCAGCTATTTATACTATGTTTACTTTGCATAAAACAGACATGTCCGCAGGAATCCAAGATTTGATCAAAAATGGTTCGAAGGCATCATTAGGTCACGGTGTCGTTCTTACGAATTAATATTGAAGTTGCAGGCGCACGAAGGAATTTGTAAACCCAGTGTTTGACACATGTTCGATCAAACATCAATGGCAAGTTGAGAGCGCACATACTAAGTAAAAGTTGTTAAAACGGCTAAATATCCACTAAAAAATTCTAGTAACGGTACAAATTTTATTAAGTCTATTAAATAAACTTATTAACAGTTTCCCTCTCTTCTACAATGTAATATGATAATCAACACTCACTACTACAACTGAAATTGTGCATATTCTGTTCAGGATTCTCTCCTCGTATGTAATGGTAATTTTGAATAGGATTATCTTAGCCGAGCAAGAAAGTAAGCGGTGTCTTATGAACAATTAACGAGCGACTATAGATCAGAGAAAAGCGAAGAATCGTAGAGCGATGAATCATAAAGCAAAAATCCGATTATATATAAAAACCAATCGGTCTTAAGATAGAGCCCCGCTATAATTAACTACGGCATCGTTGTGCACCTTTCTTATCTGCCCCCTAAAGAACGCACTAATAAGAAAATTACTTTCTTAGGAAGTAGCAGGAAGGAATTTAAACGCGCATCCGTCTCCGTTATAAATGAAATAAGAAAAAATCTGCACATAAGTTTAAATAATAATAAATAGATCGTTACAAGATAATATTTAAACTTCATAAATATTTGTAAAAAAATTAGATAGAAAAATGGTAGTTTTTTGATTTCTGTCTATCGGCATATCCTGTTTTCTGTTTCCTATGTAAAAAAAAAATATCATAATTTTTGTTTTACGAATCTGTGTAGATTAAATTGTCACTAACAATAAATTAAATAATTATATAATAACTGTATTTGCACACATACTTATGAATAGATATTTTTTATATACATAATACATTAACCATTTTCGAAGACATTTTCCAGTTCGGTTGTGATTTCTGATACAATAAGTACAAATCCTTTACTCTAAAATGCCTTTAATATAATTGGTACTCTTGATGACACGAAAATCAGCACGTAATTGTATAAACTGACGAACAACTGATTTGTCTAAGTAATTCTGAAAAGGAAATATTAAATTAATATTTAAATTTATTCTAATCGAAGTGTATGGGTAGACGCACCAAAGTATCCCCTGTGCACACTTCAAGTAGATTTTGCGGTTTTACCAATAGAAGATTGCAAAGCGCATGTAAAATATCGAATAACTGGATAACTGTTGGATTCTCAAGTTCGCGTATGCATTTTCGATATTCGTTCACATCGCAAATCGCGCACATTGCACCGGCCGTATTAAACTGCATAGTTTGTAAGTGATCGTAAATAACACGATGCAAGCGTATGCCAAATTCGTGTAATATATTTTTTTGATTCTCTCCGTCTACACAAATTTTGATTTGCTGAATTATGGGCTGCAAATTTTGAACAACATGCAAGCAAGCCTAGAAAGTAAGTTTATGGGAATTACTGGCGAATTTTTGAAATGCTATTGACAAACATCTTACCGCTGACGATATTGTGTCGACATCGGTATCTGGCTTGTAATCGGTTTTCTTTTGTTCATTTTGCAAATAAAGTTTTACCCATCCTATGACCGCATTAATGGTACGATCCAAACCTTGATCTAATTTGCTTTCCATTTGTTCCATGAGTATGCGTTTCTTGAAAAGATAGTCTGAATATTTTGGGGTATTACTGCAAATTCATAAAATTTAAATTTTAAATCTTTATTCAAAACGATTATAGTTCCATATCAATTTTTTACCTAACATAAGGCACTACAGACGTATTGCATTGATTGTCCAACAAATGCACAATAATATTAGTTTTTTGCACTACATCAAGAAAATACAATTGCGGCAAAGTTCTGGTACTTTCAACTATTGGAATTGCATGTAGACCTAGTTCTAGAGCGTAATTAACATGCTCATGCATTAAAAATCTAAAGAGAATATCGTTAAGTTTGATCACGTTCGCAGGCAAATCGGATTCGTTACAGAGTAAACGGCATCTTTTCAAAGCTGCATTTGCTTCTTGTAACATTTTAATGGCCAATTCTTCCGAAAGGAAAGTTTCGCCGCCATAATCTTCAATCTGCGCTATATTTATATTAGCTCTTGTGCCTATAAGCACTTGCATGTCACGTTTCAATTCTTGAAAACGTTCAGTTTGCTTCTTTTGATGTTTTTTACTCAAATAGAATTTCTCCAATTCATTGAAACATTTCGATGTTAGAAATCTTGATTCGATTTCTATGTAACCGAGAATATGCTTTTGAAAAATCTGTTGTGTCAACTTATTCAAAAGGTCATCATCCATCGTAGACATATAAATTTGAAGATCATTAGAAAGCTTGAGCGTTCTGGAAGAAAGCATTAAAATTACGTATAGAAATATTATTTAATTGGTTTCACGGCTACAATTGAATACCTTGAATACAATTCATATAGGGTTTTTAAATATTTATCTTCATCACGTTTATCTTCCAGTTTAGTCATAGCGTACTGATGCAATTTAAGTTGATAAAAATTCAAAATAAATTTCGACATAACTTGTTGTGGACTGGCAAATACTTTTTTTATGATTTCATAGTGATGTTTGCACATAGGAACGATACCAATAAATATATCTTTGCCGCCGTAAGGGGTCATTTGACTTTGCTCTATATAGGCATTAATGCATTGATTGTAGCCCTTGAATTGGGATAATATTTGTGCTAATTTTTTCATTTTTTCAATATCTTCACTTTTCTGAGCTGTTGCGAATTCTTCAATCAAACGTCTTTCCACCTCGTCATATTTTTTTTCAATTTTACATATCGGATCCGCAAATTTCTCTGTGGGTAAATCTTGAGCTATTGCATACAATTTTTGTATAATATCGGCCGCCTCGTAAAGTCTACCGGGATCAGTGAAAATATCATTAACAATTGGCCCAGCGAGTAGAAATTCAGACATATAGTTAAGTAATTTTTGAGCTTCAACCGTACGGCTACGTGGAGTATTGACATTTTCCAATTGCTCACCCAAGTGTGTGATTTTACCGGCCACCGAACTAATTTTCTCATCCAATTGCCAAAATACATTAGAAGCCAATTGATGACGTTCTTGTAATTTAAAAATTTTTTTACCGTGAGCTTCTTGCTCTTGTCGCAAAGATTCTTCCAAACGTTCACATTTTGCTTGCTGTTTTTCTTGCAATATTTTCAAATCCTTAATGGTTTGCGTAAAAGTCTCGTGTAACGCTGTCGGATTAAAATCTTCAACTCCGGCCGCTATTACGGCTTCTGTTTTTGAGATTTTACCACTATTACTGCATTCATTGTTTGTACGCCAAGTTAAACGCTCTACAAATTCACTAACCTCGAAGGGTTCCTATTCAATGGAAGGACTTGTAATTTATATTTGTCATTTATACTAATTTTATTCTTCCTATATACCTGTTCAAATTCCTCCATATATTGGGACAACATTTTTTGTTTGCGAACGGCAGGTTCCTCTTCTCCAATTCAACAAATCAACAACAGAAGATTCTCTGTGTTGTCTAAAAAAGTTTCAGTGAGGACACGAAGCTCTTTATTTACACCTTAATAAAGATTTAAAAATATATTTAAAACTAATTCACGGAACAGGAACTTCAATTTCTTTTTTTTTCGATCAATTTTCACAATAAAAACTCAGCGAATCAGCTGTTAGTACGATATGCTAAATCAGCTGTGATCATGCCAACTAAGGGTTAATAAGTGATCGAAAAATGTAGAAGCAGAGAAAAGTTTACTAGAATTTGGATTCCCCTTACCGGATAAAGTAGACTCGGTCGTAGATGTACAAAAATTTCAAACCAGGCTGCTTCCGTGTGTGATCTTTCTTTCTTTAAAAATTTAAATCGAGTGAAAAATTACCAAAAAAATTGAAAAATTTCTTAAAAAAAAATATAGAAAAAGAAAAATAAATAAATGAAAAATGCAAAATATAGCATAAAAGAAATTCTGTAGTAAACAAAATAATTTTACGCGATAAGTGAAAACATAAAAAAGAAGTGTAAAATTAGTCAAAAAATTCAGAAATTATTTGAAAAAAGAAGAATTTGTGCAAATAAATTAAAAAATTCTTTAGAAATTCTTTGGTAAACTAAATAATTTCATGTGGTAGTTGAAAATATAAAAAAGAAGTGTAAAATCATTCAAGAAATGCAGAAATTATTTGAAAAAATAAATTGAAAAATTCTTTGGAAATTCTTTAGTAAACTAAATAATTTCATGTGGTAATTGAAAACATAAAAAAGAAGTGTAAAATCGTTCAAGATATTCAGAAATTATCTGAAAAAAGGAGAATATGTGCAAATAATTCGGAAATTATTTGCAAACAATTGTAAATTTGTATGGAAGGAATTACATGTGAGTACAATTTTAAAAATTTGTTTACAAATAATTTTATACCCACTTGAAAATTTTTGGAGAATTATTTACTCCGAGTTAAAGCATTGTTAACGGCTAATAATTGGGAGTCTGCATTTCGTCTTGTTGAGTTTGAAAACAAAAACTTACCCAGAGAGAAAGTTTTATCACAGGTAAACATTTGGAAGTCCAAATACCTCTCCTAATCTATATTAAAATTTTTTTGTTTTCTTCTGTAAACTTGAGAGACTTGATATGCAGATCTCTCTGACTTAAGCGATTGAAGGCTAAGGCACTTCACTTTTCCACAAATTTTTCATTTGAAACTTTGCATTTACTATCGGGTAGTCTTCTTCAACTTGATAACTTCAGTTGGATATACTGTATTAATAAAATTTCGTTTCGAACTTCGACGACATAGAGGCCAGAGCTCAGATCAAAATACGATCTACAAACGACACACTTGCATGAGTTATGATCAAATACCAAAATGATGTAGAAATAAAAAAGATTTGTCCTTGAGTTGGCCGCATATTGTGTGACACATTATTGTATGTCTTCAGCCGCATTGCCCTTCTTTGGAAGATATCCAAACTTTCCTGGTATCCCTGATGTGTGGCCATTCCTCCACCCACCTAATCTCCGACCACACATGCAATGTACTCCTAATGATTGAACAAATACAAAAATTAAAAGTATATAAGCTCAAGTGTAGCAAAGAATGGGTTAAACAGAGAAAATACATCTCTGTTATTTTTGTCTTCCCTTACTATTTGACATTTCGTTAAACGAATTTATTTGTTTGTCAATTTGCAAAATATAGATTGAAGTCTGTAATTTTCCAAAATCGCGTATCAAAGTATTCGAAGTATCTCAAAGTGTTTTTGTGTTATTGAAGTATTTAAAAAAAAAAAAAAAATACTATGGCTTTAGCAAATGTCCTTTTGTTAAGTCAAATAACAGGTTATGTTCTTTTGATTATATTATCCTTATGTGTAATCGTGCCATTAAGTGTCAATCAACATTCTTTTTGGTAAGATTAAAATAATAATTATAAAGTCTCAAAACAAGGTGACTAATATAAAGGAGTTTCCTCTAATATATATATAGCGGCCATTGTTTATTATTTACTACGGGTAAATGGCGTGAAGCAGACGGCATGTTCGATGCCCGTTGGTCTTCGTCGGGTTTTTGCATTTTTCCATTGTTTACCGGTGTATTCATATTTATCGTATCCTGTGGTCAAATTTATCGATATGCACGCTTAAAAGATGAGGAATCCTTTTTGGCACTTTTCATTGACGTAGTATTGGGCATATGGAGTTTGGCTATGTCCATTATATCTTCCATAATGATTACGTTAGGTTTCATTGTCTGGTGTGACGGTATGACCGAACGTTTTCCTACGTGCGAAATGACAGCTGGTCAAAATATTATACACGGCGATACAGATCACATTGACACTTCCGGTTTTTATATAGAAATGGGTACTGCACAAGTAAGTAGCATTTATTTAGCCATTTATTTTTAAAGATGCAAAAATATAATTAATTTTAGTTTGGTGCTTGGGGAGCTTTTGCTATAAGTGTCGGTATTACGGTCATTTCCCTTTTGAAATTGATTAACAATCATCAAGTACGCAATATTAAAGTTTCCATGTATTTGGAACGTCAACGTTTGGTTAATCAACATCATTTACAAAATGATGGCATGACAACTCCGCCCGCATTTTCTGATAGTGAAAACGCCAAATAGGCACTGTTGTTACTGGCCGAATGATGATCACGCTACTGCGAACAAATTGTAATTACAATTTTCATATTATTTATATTCACTTTGTTATTGTTTAATCATATAATTGTAATCATTCTAATCCATGGCGTTTTAAAAACATTTTCCATGTAATTATTGTTTGTTGTAGATATTTTAAGTGTTCGAGCTCCCTTTAAGGGAAAGCAAAAAACATTATATTTTTTTAAAAATATTAATTTACTTTTCTATTTAGTAGATTATATCAGATTATTCTCTTACGCAGTATATGCATAAAATTATGAACACATTAAAATAAAAATTCCAATTTCTTGCTAAATTTTCCTATGCTAGAAAAGCTTTTATTGAGTTTAGAATATTTTCGTACTATTTATAATACTTAAAAATAAAAGATTGGTTTGAACTTGTTGAATCGTCGGCTTCCAAGTTTTTTTTTAAAGCTATGCTCATTGAAGAATGAGAATATGATCATTAAAATATTTACTCATAACAAAACTTAATATATGTCCTGATACACTTCCTTAGCCTACAGTTGCTACTTAAGCGAAATTTCGTATCGCGGCGATCATCTATTCAATTCAGAATAGCTTATTCAACACGGTAAGACTTTTCAAGGTTGCACATGATGGTCGCGTCTTCCTCCCTATAATGAAAGATGTCGATCAAAATTTAGACTTGGCCAATTGAGCGAAAAGCGCCAATTTGAGATCTGGTGGGCGGGTAATGGCATGGCCGTTGGTATTGAGTACCACTGCAACCTACGTTTTGATAACATCGGCCTCATTCTTCATCACAAGAATTAGGTTTAACAAATCACGATATAAATTATTTACAAACATTCGATAATTCGATTGGTCCACTTGTCAATTTGGATGGCGAGGCCTACTTTTGTTACAGTGAGGCGATCGCTACAAGTTTGAGATGTGCTAACTATAAAGAGCTCGATAATGAAGTAAACATTTTTATATTAACCGGCATCTCTTCCGCTATTACAAAGAATTACTTGAAATTTCCTTTATTTTCTTTTAGAAAGTTTGCATACTATTTAATTTAACGGCATTGCAAAAATAAAATTTAAGTATATATTAAGTATAGAATCCAAGCTCTCTATGAATAATTTTTCCGCTAAATTGTTGATGTGGACAGATGTTTATTACAAGATAATAAAAAGTAAACTCTTTTCTAAGGGACTTACAATCTATGAGAAACTTTATATGAAGTGGGTCCAAGCAATAGATGCACGCGGCGCAAGTTGCATCTACTTAATCCGATTTCTTAATAGGGTTCCTCCATGGGCCAAAATACGTCAGCGTAGCCAATTTTTCGAGATACCGCATAAATACCGATCATTACATTCAACACAAGAATACATGGATAGGCGTTAGGCGGACAGACGGATAGACAAGCCTAGATGGATGCAGAATCATTTTCAGTATATAAAAGGTGAGCCCATCTCAAAGCTTTATGAATTGTTGTATACATTCGCATATGCCGAACATATAGCAAATGCAGTAGGGTGTAAAAAAGCAATTGGATTTTCTGTTTTGAAATTAAAAAGTGGAAACTTTAAGTTATGCGATAATAATTGAAATTTTCAAATAGAGTGAGTGTTAGCTTCTTTAAAAGGAATATATATGTCTTGCCGAAACTATCATCTGCTTATCTAAGCAATAAATCGAACCTAATGGATTTAAAATCATCTTTAAGTTAAATGGTTGCAGCGTTTGCAGTTTCCAATTTTAATTTACATTAATATAGTTTTTTAAAGAAGGCGTGTTAGAGAAAACTGGTAATTAAAACATTTGCAAGGACCAGGAAGAAGCTTTAAAAATCATAATACAATGCCTACGTATTATTAAGCAGTATTAAGCGTTAGTTGGTATAAAAAAATCGGTGATAACCGAACATAATTTTCTTAATCTTTTACTTTCAATTTACATTTTTACACATCTGACGATGCCGAAGTGTGGATGAAGAACAAGAGAATACAGTATATGTAAATGTTTTCTGGAACCTTTCTTAAACAACATGTGCGTTATTTGATATTTGATATTGGGACCTCTAACAAGCATATACGTTGTTTAGATATCTTCTTGAAGAAAAATAGAAAAGTTGCTTAAAACGTTAACGCTTTTTTTGCATAATCAAGGCTCTACGCTTTCTTAATGTTAGCATTAGTTGAAACAACTTTTTAAAAGCAAATTTTAATTCATAAATTTTGGTTTATTTGAAAATATTAAAAATTGCAATAATACAAATAAATTTTTGGAAAGAAATTTTAACAAAGAAATAATTTCTCAACTTTTAAGGAAATTAAACAAATCTTCTATTGCTTCACTGCAGCGAATGTGTTAGTTAAGGTGCCTTCGAATAAACGTTAAATAACAAAAATTACGCGAAAGTTTTATTATTTTCAATTATTTTCTGCATAATACACTGCAAGATTGAGACCAAAAATTGAGGTTAATATATATGGCGTAATATAACATATATAGTATTGTAGCAGTTTTTAATTATATAAAAGATTCTATTTTACAGATTATGTGGTTTTTTTTTTTTTTTTTTTTATTAAATTT